CGGCGGGAGCTGCGCGGTTTGCAGCTCCCCGCAGCGCCCGGAGCCGCTCCGGGTGTCCCCGGGCAGCTCCCGCTCGGTGTCCGCGGGCTCCTCCCGGTTCCCGTGCTGCGAGGGTCGGTGCGCGGCCAGTCCGGGCCCCGCTGCTCGAGAGCGACCCTGACCTGTCCCTGTTTCTTATTGTAGGTTGACTCCTTCAGGGAGCGCATCACGAGTGAGGTGAGTGTCACAGGGCGTGCAGGAAAGAGGTTTTTTGTTCGTATCTTTCAGACAAACTCGATTGTGGGTTGAGCCTGCCCTGGAGACTTAGCAACACCCAGGGCATCATTCACCCACTGCAGTGAGGTTCCTGAGCCTCGTGGCTCTCTTCTCACCTGGGCTTTGTTTGGTTTTGGCAGCAGGAAGAGCTTCCCTTCTCTTCATTTCCTGCTTACACACAGATGATTTCCCTGGTGTTGTTGCCTACTAATGGGAGCTGTGTGCCCTTTCACATCACTGTTTGTTCTTTCTTTCTTAGGCTGAAGACCTCGTAGCAAATTTTTTTCCAAAGAAGCTGTTAGAACTCGATGGATTCCTTAAGGTAGGGTGTGCCTTGTGCTCTGTGTCCTTTTCCATTTTCAACTCCATTTTGGAAGTGGCGTGGCAGGTCACTTCAGGGGTGTTTTCTGTGCACTTCACCTCGTTGCAGAGACACAAGGCAGCAGCTGCTTGCTCACATGCACCGCAGTGCTGTTGGTTCTGGAGGGGTGCTGCCTTTTGCAGTTTGCTTTGTGTGATCTCTCACATTTATCTTTCTCCACGTTCCCCAGTGGGCTGTCCCTGGCAGTGCTGGGGTCTCACAGGGACACCACTGACCATGGCCTGGCACTCCTGGCTGGAGGGCTCACAGCCTATTGCCAGACCTCTTATTGTCATTCATCCTAATTTTACAGTTGGACAAGGGGGATGCCTGAATCTTTTGTCTTCTCATTGTGTTTGGGGTGGCAGACTTTATTAGTTCACAATAAAATAACAAATCTGCTTTGTTTTGCAGGAACCCATCCTGAATATTCATGATCTTACTCAGATCCATTCGGACATGAACCTCCCAGTGCCTGACCCAATTCTTCTCACCAACAGCCACGATGGACTGGATGGGGTAAGGTTACTCTCTTGGCTGTGATCCCAGCTTCTGTTAAAACTGCATGGTTTGCTCTGTGCTGGGGTAGGATATTCTTATTTAATAACAGAGATTTTGGAGATTGATCTCTCAAGCCTGGAAAGTCTGCTGGAGGTAGCACTGCTCTACAGTCCTTCCTGGGCTTTAAGGAAGAGTGCTTAGAAACCAGGAACGTGGCAGGGCTCTTAAGCTTTCCTTTTTGTCCTTTGCAACGCTTTTACAGCTTACGACTAGTTTGTGAGTAAAACATTTTGTATATTTTAGCCAAATATGAAAAAGAGGAAGCTGGAAGACCACGAAGAGACCTTTCAGGGTAAGAATCCCCGAGTCCCTTGTGTTGCTCCCTGCCCCCTGAACTGCTGCACTGAGCCTTGGGGATGCAAATTGTGTGAGCCCCACTAGCCCTGCCCTGACAGCAGCTGCTGCTCATACAGGCCAGGGCCTGACCTACAGATGTTGTGATGTGGAGGAGTCAGGTTCCAGCTCTTAGAAGCATAATTAGTAGTTCTCTGATAGACATAAGTAGTACTTGGCTGGATCTTGGCCTGCTGACAGAGGCAGCTGAGCTCCTGGTGGCTTTGTGCAGTTCCTCTCTTTGTCTGGAAGAAGATTCCAGGCTTTGGATTAAGCTGAGACTGAAACTTCTTGTACGTGTGCACCAGGAAAACCCTTTGTGCTCAGCAACCTCGAGCTCTTCAGTCTCATCCTGCTCTGTGTTTTCTCTTTTCCTTCCCTTGTGGTCACTGCTGTCCCGTTTCCCCTTCCCTACAGGTGGCCACAGCCTGGCTCAGTCCCTTTGTGGCCTTGGTGGGAGATGAGTGAGGCTCAGGTGGCCCCTCGGTCCGACCCTGCTGCGGCTGTCCCTGCGAGTCGCTGACACTGGGGCTTTGTCTCTGCCACAGGTACCAAAGTGTTTGTGATGCCCAATGGGATGCTGAAGAGCAACCAGCAGCTGGTGGACATCATCGAGAAAGTGAAGCCAGAAATCAGGCTGCTCATTGAGAAGTGCAATACGGTGGGTATGAGCCTGGAGAGGGGAGGCAGCAGGGTGGTTTTACTCCTGGAGAGGTGGAGCTGTGAAAGGAGCAGGTCCCTCTGTGCTGTGGATGAGGAAAAGCAGGGCTTTGTTCTGTCTGACAGGGGCTAGGAGGCAGGTGAAAGCCTTGGGGAGCTCTGTTATTCACCTGAAGGAGAAGGATGTCTGTCACCAGGCCTCATGAGGCTTTGCTTTGCCCATCTTTTGCACAGGCACAGACTCCTAACGAGAGCTCCTGTGGCATGGTGAGGAGAGCTTCCCATGGGAGGCTGTGACTGTGCTGGCTTTCATGGCATCCCAGCCATGGGAAATGATCTTGGAAGTGTTATAGGTGTATGAGGGACCTGCAGCAGGTTACCATGAGCTGTGTGGCAAACACAGGGTCCTGGGAGGCTTTTGCTGACGTTCCTGAGAGAAGTCATTGTGCAGGTGTTGGCATTGGTCAGTGTTGTGATCTTTCCACTGCAGGTCAAAATGTGGGTGCAGCTTCTCATTCCCAGGATAGAGGATGGAAACAATTTTGGTGTTTCTATTCAGGTAAGGCACTGCTTGGTGGTCCAGGGACTTGTATCTTTGGGATTCCTCTGAATCTTCCAGTTCATGGTGTCCAGCAGCTGCAGTGTTGGGAAGGTAGAATTAGAAAGAAATTATAAATATGACTTTGTAGCCAGAAAGGCTAAGGAAGAAATACAAATGATAGCACGGTTTGAATAATTCAAAGAAACCGGGCTGGTATGCCAGAACACATTCTTTCCTGCAATAAAACCAAGCTGAGACCCCTCATCCCAGCCTTATAAGGAAAGGTCTGAAGGACCCTGAGATAACTAAAAATATGCAAAAATAGCGATTTCTATAGGTTGTACACAAATGTTACTATATTAGTATACTTAGAAAGATTGGTTAGTAAAGGAATAGAATATTCAAAGGTATAGGTTATATAAGTAGTGGTATAGAAGAGCTCTCTCTCTTTTTCCGGCTCTCTCACTTCTGTTATGTTCTGTAACTCTCTTTCGTAGAAATCTTAAGTCTTAAACTCATGTATTCGTATCTTACCCTCTTTTGTATTGCTCTCCCTGAGCCCGCCTTGAGCTCTATCTGTTGGCTCATAGCAGGCTCTCTCTCTCTCTCTACCCCACGCCCTGAAATAAACTTCTAACACTTAACTCGATTATAGAGGTCTTTGCCGTGTCTCTGACCGTCCCCAGAAAGCGTCTCCTACACTGCAGTCCTGGGGTTAGATTAGGTTTTAAAACCCAGACCTGAGCTTGATGTGGTGCTGCTGAGACAGTGCTTCCCAAGCCCTGAAAGCCAGCTGCAGCCTACTGGAGCTAATGGCTTCCTTGTCTTCCCTGCAGGAAGAAACAGTTGCTGAGCTCCGGACTGTGGAGAGTGAGGCAGCGTCTTACCTGGACCAGATTTCTAGGTAGGGATGCAAGAACAGACTTCTTTTCTGGGATCTCCTTGGAAAAGGAGCGTGTTTGGGAAAGGTCCCCCAGCTGTTGTTACAGGGCAGCTTGGACCTGAAAATAATCCTGGTGCTGTTAATCTGAGCTTTAATCTCTCTTTTCCTGCCAGATACTATATCACAAGGGCAAAGTTGGTGTCCAAAATAGCCAAGTACCCTCATGTGGTAAGTCAGCGGGGACATGGAGATTTACATGGTTACACTGCTGCTTCCTGGGACTCTTTGAGCTGCTTTGTCACTGTCCTTTCTGAGCTGAGGGTCCTGAGGGACCTGGGGGAACGGTACAAGGACTGAGGGCAGCAAGCTGGAGGTGTGGGGCTCCTCTGTGGAGGGCAGAGTGTGGGAGGCCGGGCTGAGCTCGGCCGCTGAGCCGCGTCTGCTCCCGGCAGGAGGATTATCGCCGCACCGTGACGGAGATCGACGAGAAGGAGTACATTAGTCTGCGCCTCATCATTTCAGAGCTGAGAAATCAATATGTAAGTGAAAACAGAGCTCACATTGGCTCCTCATGCAGCAGGAGGGCCCTTGTGATCCTGCTGCTGCTCCTCTTCCCTTTCCCCCTGAGCACTCCTGCTGCCTGCTCCCCGCTTTGTCTCCAGCCAGACGAGCCAGCTGTTGCTTCTCCACCATCTCCTAGAGATGCAGATGTTTCCAGCAGTGTTCATGGGGTCCTACTGCAAAATATTTGTGCCCCCTTTGTGGGAATATGATCCTAAGCTCTTCTTACACTACAAGCCAGTCCTAGGGTTTTTGAATAAATGTTTTTGGTATTACATGTACTGGCTTCTGTAAGGTCTGGCTGAAGGAAGCCCTTACCTTAACCAGGTGTGTGCTTGCAAGGGCAGTGGTGCTGCTGTGGTAACCAGTGCTTATGGTGAAAGCTGGATGGCTCCCTGTCTTAGTCCTGTTCTTCCCTTTTGCAGGTCACTTTGCATGACATGATCCTTAAAAACATTGAGAAGATCAAGAGGCCTCGGAGCAGCAATGCTGAGACCCTCTATTAAGTGTCAACGTTTGAACTTGAGAACTGTTCAGTCAACTAAAGACCGTCATTGCCTTGGTTTGTTACGTGACTATCGAGATGGGAAACTGGCTGGAAATAGTATTGCATTCTTAGTTAAACTCTAAAGAAATTCTTGCCTAGTTTTGTGATTGGTTTTGTTCAGGTCTCAGGAGCTCTCCCTCTTCCTCTAGTCACTGGTAGTAGAGGCCATGCTGCACTGGATGCCCCAGAGGCTGCTGCAGCCGGGCAGGGACATTCCTTCATGCCTTGCTTCCTACATGAGTGGGAACAACACTATAGACCAAGCCCTTGTCCTGTCCCATCTCTTGTCTGGTGGCTGCACTGGGGTCTCTGGAACAGGGCAAACAGCCCAGCACGAGGGCAGGCCCAGCAGTGCCACAGCAGGGAAGCTCTCTCCCCACTGCTGGCTGTGGCCAGGCCCCTCTGCCACCAGCTCTGCACTGACCAGGGACCCTGCCCCTTGGCAGCTGTGCTCTGGTGCCACTGAGCCGTCTGCACTCCCTTTCT